AAAGTATTGGTTTGGAAATAGGGTAGTTGATGAGTGGAACAGTCTAACTAGTTGGGTTAATGAGGCTAAAACCTTGGGTAGTTTCAAATTTAGGTTGGATAAATACAAGAGTGTGAGGGGTTGGATTTGAGTGGGACTTGCATAATGAGTAAATAGAATCATTAAAACGTATTTCTTGGGCAGCATTGAAAATTGGGTTGGGCAAATATTTTGTTAGTGGGATGGATTGTGCAGGACCTGCCTAGTATGGGCCAACAGACCTGCTGCAGTGCTCCTCCTTGGTAGGTAAGACACATAGGCAACAGTTAGGCAACTTGACTCACAAAATCGTAATGACACGATTGCAAACAAACCATACCACATCTTAACCCCTTGACTGTCGCAACCCACAATCTTAAGGTGTCTCCTGGTGTCAAAAAAAAAAAAAAAATTCTTATGAAATGGTAGAGAATATTTTCCTGATGGTAATGACACCAAAAGCACAAAATTTGATGGAAAACTTATGGAAATACACTCTCGCAAAGTTAGTGACCTCAGCGACATTAACAAATCGGCGATTTCCCCCACCTTGAGCCCAATTTTTGGCTAATTCCATTGTTCCTGTCGATCAAACTCATAACTATTTCTTTAGAATTTCATTTGTTCTATCGATTGAATACAAGAAACAGCCCATTTACCGATTTCAACTACCCAATAGAGTGGTCAGAAATTGACAATTTGGCCAATTTCACAAAAATTAAAAAACATGACAATTTTAAAATAGGGTCCAGAATGAACAATGCAGACATTCCTGGCTTTAAAATATCATTTTCTTCGTTCATCAGTCATGTCTCCAGGCCCCTCTGATGTTACTCTTGCTTTCTATTTTGAATTTTTATTCAAACAAAAAATAGAAGATTTACTGTTATGCAGACTACTGCAATATTGTAATAATTGTATAAATAATGTCAACCCATTCATGACTGCATATTAGAATGGCTAGTTGAACATTTATTGGACAATGACATCATTTGTTTACTTTTGAACATTGGTAAAAATCAAACATTTCCCCTACTTTGAGCTCCATTTCTAGGTTCTTTTCATAGGAAAGACCAATCAAAATCACCTCTATTTCTATAATGTTTTCCATTCTATCAAATGAGACCAAGAAAATTAGGATACAAGCATAAATACTATACGAAAATAGACCACAAAGTCGGCGTTTTAATTAAAAAAAAATGGTCGGAGTTTTTTTCTCATTATGCACTGCGTGCTGCAGGATTTTTTTTTATACGGTGCACACTGACCACACAGACCCTTTCTCTCACATGTGGGCATACCAGCTTTCTCTTGCTTGATTTGAAGCCGCTAGAATTTGAGTATATATACGTCAAACACGGTGGCTCGAAAGACATATATATACAACCGAAACAGTCGAAGGGTTAACCCATGGCCAAGCAATCTTGGTCATGGTTTATGGGTCAATATGTGGGGGATTTTTTTTTTTTTTTTTTTTGGTGACTATAATTCATCATAATTGAGGACGAGTGTTATGTAAGAGAGGTATAGGGATGTGAGTAATGAACAGAGGGAAGGTCACTTTAGTGACAGAAATGCCTACAGTGTGTTTAGGACTGTTTTCAAATTGAAATTTGTAGAAAATCCTTAGCAAGTGTCTCCCACTGTTGAGTGCTGATGGGTTCGTATGTAGATTGATCATTCAAAAGGTCCATCATTTTGGTGTTGTAGTCACTGGTGTCGAGAATGACGACTCCACCTCCTTTGTCGGTGGTGGTGACGATAATGCTTGTTTCTCATAGTCAGTTAAGGTGCGTGGCGATAGATTGTTTATCGGGGATTCCGATCCCATTTCCTTCCACCGACTGTTAGTGCAGAGGTACTGAAGTTTGCCAACCTCCAACAGAAGATCAAACTCAATCGCAAACTTCAGTACCTCTGCACTAACAGTCGGTGGAAGGAAATGGGATGGGAATCCCTGATAAACAATCTATCGTCACACACCTTAACTGACTACGAGAAACAAGCACCGAGTCAGGGACTTAAATTTACCACTAACATACGCAAACCTAACTATCAACTCAACCTAGTTACCAGGAACCACAGACACAGTGACAGTAACTTCCAGAAGGGTTATATACGGGGTATTCTCACTGCAGCTTTATGTGAACCTTCTTCTAATCTTCCTAGACGATATATCACTGCCCTCAAGGACCTTGCCAACGACCCCAACATTATCGTCACCACCGCCGACAAAGGAGGTGGAGTCGTCATTCTCGACACCAGTGACTACAACACCAAAATGATGGACCTTTTGAATGATCAATCTACATACGAACCCATCAGCACTCAACAGTGGAATTTATAGAAAAAAGCAATACTAGTCAAATTATCGATTCTGGGCTCTTAACCCTTTCAGGGTTTCAGACGTACTAGTACGGCTTACACACCAGGGTTTTTGACGTACTAGTATGCCTAAATTCTAGCGCCCTCAAATCTAGTGAGAGAAAGCTGGTAGGCCTACATATTAAAGAATGGGTTTATGTGGTCAGTGTGGGCAGTATAAAAAAAATCCTGCAGCACATATTGCGTAATGAGAAAAAAAACTGACCGTGTTTTTGGATTAATACAGTGACTTTGCACTGTATTTTTGTATGGTATTTATTGTTGTATTCTAGTTTTCCTGGTCTCATTCTATAGAATGGAAGACATATTACAGAAACTGAGATGATTTTGAATGGTTTTACAATGAAAAGTACCTTGAAATTGAGCTCGAAGTAGCAGAAATGTTCGATTTTTATCAAAGTTCAAAAGTAAACAAATCATACGAAGCGTCCAATACACGTCAACTGGCGAGTCTAATATTCTTTCACAAGTGCGCCGATATTATTTATACCATTTCTACACTAATGCAGTAGTCTGCATAACAGTAAATCTTCTATTTTTTGTGAGAATAAAAATTCAAAGTGGAAAGCAAAAGAATGTAAGAGGGGCATGGGGATGTGACTAATGAACAGAGGAAATGTTATTTTAGTGCCAGGAATGTCATTCATGTTTATTCTGGACCCTAATTGGAAATTGGCATCTTTTGAAATTTGTGTGAAATTGGCAAAATTGCTAAATTCTGACCACTGTATTGGATAGTTGAAATCGGTAAATGGGTGGTTTCTTGTACTCATTCAATAGAAAAAATGGAGTTCTAGCGATATACAGTGGACCCTCAGCTAATGATGGCATCAGCTAATGTTAAATCCAGCTAACAATACATTTTAATGCAAAAATTTTGCCTCGGCTAATGTTAAAAAACTCGCCCAACGTGATTCGTTCGAGATGCGTCCACGTGTGGCCTGAGCGCACCTCAGTTGTCCCTAGGGTGCCAGTGTTTACAAGCCAGCCAGTGCGGTCGCATCCACACATACAATCGGAACATTTCATATTATCACAGCGTTTTTAGTGATTGTACCTGCAAAATAAGTCACCATGGGCCCCAAGAAAGCTTTTAGTGCCAACCCTGTGATAAAAAGAGTGAGAATTAGTATGGAAATTAAGAAAGATTTTGAAAGGTTTGGGGCTAACCCTGAGATGCCTATGCCAGTTGTGGAATCCAGTGTGCCTACTTCAAAGATTAAGGAAATGTGCAAAGTGGGTTGAACTGCAAACCTTTATGGATGAAAATCACCCTAACACAGCTATTGCAAGCCATGGTGGTGACTATTACAATGACAATGTTGTGGCTCATTTTAGGCAAATCTTAAAGGAATGGGAGGTACAGACCTCTGCAGACAGATTTGTTGTGCGACAGAGGTCCAGCGACTCTCAAGCTGGTCTTAGTGGCAATAAAAGAAGAAGGGAAGTAACCTCAGAAAAGGACTTGATACCTCAAGTCCTAATGGATGGGGATTCCCCTTCTAACCATTAACAACTTCCACACACTCCCCTCCTCCCATCCTATCAATCATCACCAGATCTTCAATAAAGGTAAGTGTCAGTTTGTGTGTATTAAAATTAATATTTCATGTGGTAAATTTTTTTTTTTTTTCATACTTTGGGTTGTCTTGCATGGATTAATTTGATTTCCATTGTTTCTTATGGGGAAAATTAATTCAGCTAACGATAATTTCAGCTAACGATGAGCTTTCAGGAATGGATTAATATCGTTAGCTGAGGGTCCACTGTAGTAGTTATGATTTTTGTCGACTAGTACACGAAATGGCCGAAAATAGGGCTCAAAGTGGGCAAAATCGCCAATGTGTAAACATTGTCGAGACCTCTAACTTCGCGAGAGCATAATTCCCTAAGTTTTCTATCAAATTTCATACTTTTGGTGTCATTATGATCAGGAAAAAATTCTCTATCTTTTCATAAGAATTTTTTTTTTTTTTTTAAATTTGGGTGACCCTGAGAACAAGTCTGGGAGAGGGCCAGGGGACCCTGAAAGGGTTAACAGGCTAGTTTGGATGGCTGAATGGACAGTTTCTTGCTATCACAATAGTGAAACAACCAAGACTGGGTTTGTTCAAACACTGGAACTTCCATATGTATCTAAACCTTTGAATATCACCTCGCATTGTTAAATATTTCTTATCCATAGCTCTCATCATCTCTCCAAGCTCTTTCAATTACCCAACAACTGATTTTTGCCACAGACTAAAAATTGGGTAAAAGGGACAACCATACAGGTCTTCACCTGACAGGCTCATATCATAAAGAGATTTTCCTAAATGAAAATAATACCGCCACCCATAATACAAAATGTTCTTATGCCAAGGGAGTTGCCACAGCAGAATAAACCCAAAGCAATCCCATCTTTCCAGTATTTATTAGGTGCATACAACAAAAAAACAGACCTACCCAAGTGCAAATTATACTGGTTAACTAATGTAATAATTAATGCAATAATTAATGTAATAATTAATTACTATGATACCCCTAATACGTATGCTGATGTTTTCAATATTACAATTCCATTCACCTAGCCCTAGTTATATACTGAATATACGAACCTTGCCGAGTTGAACTCTTGTCATGTGACCTATTGGAGGTTTCCTTGGCACGTGTACGCTCCCATTCTAACCACTCTGGGGGCTTTTCCCATTGAGAAACCTCAGTGCGGCAATTATAGTAGTATTTCTTCCCTGAAGAACTCACATGTTCCGACCAGTCGCCCACCCTCGCCAAACGTTCTTTCTCTTCTTTCTTGTGCTATAAATATAAATGTATTAACAAATCAGCAAATGGTGCAACTTAAAAATATCTAGATATGACATGTGTTACAACAAAGTAACTAATAATACCGTGCCACGAACTGTTGTAATGAAAGAAAATTAATAAACTTCCATATTTATATTTTTTTCTTTTCAACAAGTCAGCCGTCTCCCACCGAGGCAGGGTGACCCAAAAAGAAAGAAAATCCCCAAAAAGAAAATACTTTCATCATCATTCAACACTTTCACCTCACTCACACATAAACACTGTTTTTGCAGAGGTGCTCAGAAAACAACAGCTTAGAAGCATATACCTATAAAGATACACAACACATCCCTCCAAACTGCTAATATCCCGAACCCCTCCTTTAGAATGCAAGCATTGTACTTCCCATTTCCAGGACTCAAGTCCGGCTATATAAGAATAACCAGTTTCCCTGAACCCCTTCACTAAATATTACCCTGCTCACACTCCAACAGATCGCCAGGTCCCAAATACCATTTGTCTTCATTCACTCCTATCTAACACGCTCGGGCATGCTTGATGGAAGTCCAAACCCCTCGCCGACAACACCTCCTTTACCCCCTCCCTCCAACCTTTTCAAGGATGACCCCTACCCAGCCTTCCTTTCTCTACAGATTTATATGCTCTCCATGTCATTCTACTTTGATCCATTCTCTCTAAATGACCAAACCACCTCAACAAACCCTCTTCAGCCCTCTCACTAATACTTTTATTAACTCCACACCTTCTCCTAATTTCCACACTCCAAATTTTCTGCATAATATTTACACCACACATTGCCCTTAGACAGGACATCTCCACTGCCTCCAACTGCTTCCTCGCTGCAGCATTTACAACCCAAGCTTCACACCCATATAAGATTGTTGGTACTACTATACTATACATTTTTTGCCTCCACATATACCTCAATGCACCACTCACCTTTTTTCCCTCATCAATTATATGATTAACCTCATCCTTCATAAATCCATCCGCTGACACGTCAACTCCCAAGTATCTGAAAACATTTACTTCTTCCATACTTCTCCTCCCCAATTTGATATCCAATTTTTCTTTATCTAAATCATTGGATACTCTCATCACCTTACTCTTTCCTATGTTCACTTTCAACTTTCTACCTTTACGCACACTCCCAAATTCGTCCACTAACCTTTGCAATTTTTCTTTAGAATCTCCCATAAGCACAGTATCATCAGCAAAAAGTAACTGACACTTCCCATTTTGTATTTAATTCCCCATAATTTAATCCCACCCCTCTCCTGATCACCCTAGCATTTACTTCTTTTACAACCCATCTATAAATATATTAAACAACCATGGTGACATTACACATCCCTGTCTAAGACCTACTTTTACGGGGAAGTAGTCTCCCTCTCTTCTACACACCCTAACCTGAGCCTCACTATCCTCATAAAAACTCTTTACAGCATTTAGTAACTTACCACCTATTCCATATACTTGCAACATCTGCCACATTGCTCCCCTATCCACTATCATATGCCTTTTCTAAATCCATAAATGCAATAAAAACTTCCCTACCTTTATCTAAATACTGCTCATATATATGCTTCAATGTAAACACTTGATCTACACATCCCCTACCCACTCTAAAACCTCCTTGCTCATCTGCAATTCTACATTCTGTCTTACCTCTAATTCTTTCAATAATAACCCTACCGTACACTTTTCTTGGTATACTCAGTAAACTTATTCCTCTATAATTTTTACAATCACTTTTGTCCCTTTTCCCTTTATATAAAGGGACTATACACGTTCTCTGCCAATCCCTAGGTACCTTCCCCTCTTTCATACATTTATTAAACAAAAATACCAACCATTCCAACACTATGTCCCCCCTGCTTTTAACATTTCTGTCATGATCCCATCAGTTCCAGCTGCTTTACCCCCTTTCATTCTACGTAATGCCTCACGCACCTCCCCCACACTCACATCCTGCTCAAAATATTCTCGCCATCTACCCAAAACCTCCGTCTCCCCATCTACTAACTCCCCTACTGTTTTTAACTGACAAATCCTTTTATTCCTTATGCTTTCTTAACTTATTTAACTCACTCCAAATTTTTTTCTTATTTTCATTAAAATTGCTTAACAGTACCTCTCCCACTATCATCCGTTCTCCTTTTGCACTCTCTCACCACTCTCTTCACCTTTCTTTTACTCTCATACACAAATAACCCGCACATAAAAGAGAAGCTTACGACGACGTTTCGGTCCGACTTGAACCATTTACAAAGTGACTTTGTAAATGGTCCAAGCCAGTCTGAAACGTCGCCGTAAGCTTCTCTCTTTTATGTGCGGGTTATTTGTGTATCGTTCCAGTCACGGTATTGTGCCTTTTTTTGTTTAACTCTCCATATACTCTGCTCTTTTTATAACACTTCTGCTTTGTAAATACCTCTCATAAGCTACCTTTTTCTCTTTTATCACACTTTTTATTTCATCATTCCACCAATCACTCCTCTTTCCTCCTGCACCCACCCTATTATAACCACAAATTTCTGCCCCACATTCTAATACTGCATTTTTAAAACTATTCCAACCCTCTTCAACCTCCCCACTACTCATACCTGCACCAGCCCACCTTTCTGCCAATAGTTGCTTATATTTCATGCTCCATGAGCTCTTCGAGCACTGCATCTCTCCATTATGTATGGAAACTTTCCAAAATTTCAAGTGCTTCAAAGTTATTTCAAGTTTTATATATCCTCTGATAATTTTACTTATGTGTACCAGTACCTAAATAAACTAACACACTGTTCTGGTGTGCAGGGACACATTAACCCTTTCACTTTTGGTGCCGTAATATTATGGCTTGCATGCCAGTGTTGGTGCTGTAATATTACGCCAAAATTCTAGCAGCTTCCAGTCTTGTGGGAGAGAGCTGATAGGCCTACATGTGTGAGAATGGGTCTGAATGGTCAGTGTGAGCAGTATAAAAAAAAATCTGCAACATGCAGTGCATGAGAAGTGTTGGTGCCATAATATTACGCCAAAATTCTAGCAGCTTTCAGTCTTGTGGGAGAGAGCTGGTAGGCCTACGTATGTGAGAATGGGTCTGAATGGTCAGTGAGAGCAGTATACAAAAATCCTGCAACATGCAGTGCATGAGAGAAAAAAAATCTCAAGTGTTTTTGGTTTAAAACACTGACTTTGTGGTGCATTTTCGTATGATATTTATGGTTTTTTTCTTGTTTTCTTGGTCTCATTTGATAGAATGGAAGATATAATACAGAAACATAGATGATTTCGATTGGCTTCACAATGAAAAGTACCTTGAAATTGAGCTCAAAGTAGTGGAAGTGTTCGATTTTTACCAATGTTCAAGAATAAATATATTATGTCACCATCCAATACGTGTCCAACTGGCCAGTCTAATACACAGTCACAAATGGGTTGACTTTATTTATACAATAATGCAGTAGTCTGCATAACAGTAAATCTATTTTTTGTGTGAATAAAAATTCAAAATGGAAAGCAAGAGTAATATAAGAGGGGCCTGGGGATGTGATTCATGAAGAGAGAAAATGTTATTTTATTACCAGGAATGCCTGAATTGTTTATTCTAGACACTATTTTGAAATTGGCATCTTTCAAAATTTGTGTGAAAGTTGCCAAATTGTCAATTTCTAACCACTATTTTGGGTAGCTGAAATCGGTAAATGGGTGGTTTCTTGTACTTAATCGATAGAACAAATAGAGATCCAGTGAAATAGCTATGAGTTTGGTTGACTGGAACAATGGAGTTGGCCGAACGTAGGGCTCAAAGTGGGAAAAATTGGCGATGCGTATATATCGCCAAGACCGCTAACTTCACGTGAGCATAATTAGGTAAGTTTTCTATCAAGTTTTGTAATTTTGGTGTCATTATCATTGGGAAAAGATTCTCTATCCTTTCATAAACTTTTTTTTTTTTTGTTTTTACAATTCGACACTGAGAGCAAGTGTGTGAGCAGGGGTCTCAACAATGAAAGGGTTAACACTAGGGGTGTGACAAAAGTACAGTAGTCTCCCAAAATTCGTGGGAGTTACGTTCCAAGACCACCCACGAATTTGGAAAAACCGCAAATTCTGGATGCGGTTAAAAAAAATGCCTATGCCTATTTTTATAGTTTAAACTTTAAATATACCCCCAAAACACTTTAATTTAATTTCAAACTCTGCTTCATACATCACCCTCAACCCCTTAACTGTCCAAACGTAGATCTACGTTCTCTCGCTCCGAATATTTTGAAAAATAAAGTTTTTTTTTTTTTTTAAATGAAGAGGACATTTTTTACATAATGTAAAAAGAAACCTAAGAGTCAGTACTTACAGAGATATAAGCCCGCAAAGTAGGCACTTGTCACTCATCTGACGGCAACATGAAGCACTGCCACTTGCAGATGTTGTCAATATACCTTATCTCATTTTTTTTTTTAATTTGTATAATTTTTATGTTCTTATAATTCTGATGGTCTTGGTGGGTATCTGCTAATTGTGATGACATTGAAATCAGTATTGGCCAAAAACTGAGTATTGTTATCAGCAAAATTTTGGTATCATCCCACCACAAGCACCCAACCTTGGTGGGAAATGATTAAAAGAAAAATTTGCAACATGAAACACTTACAACTGAATTAATGCGGTCGTGATTTCCTCGGCTATCCCTGTCGCGTTCTCGGTCCCTATCACGGTCTCGTACCTCTCTTCGTCGGTCTTTAGGTGACCTACTGTCATCTGAAATTAAGAGTAAATTCCATTTTATCACTGCTTTTTGTAATCTATGTTAAATGAATGAAGTGCAACTATTTTCAACAGCATGTTAAGGACATGAAAAGGGAGGCAGATGATGAGCCAGCAAGACTGGACTTAGCATATACCACAAGTACAGAAGACATGGGTAAAATGCAATTCAAGAGCCCTCTGAGCACTAGTGATCATAGTGGAACTAAAGCAAAGGGAAATACAGTAGGCACAGAACATAAAAAGCCAAACTTCATTAAGGAAAATTTTGAAGGGTTGAGAGACTCCCTGAATGTAGTGGATTATGACAATGAATTGGAAGGTTAAGGTAGGATTGAGGGTTCCCGCGCGCGGAGCCAAAAAAAATTCGAAAATATATGAAAACTGAGTTATTGTTACCAAAAAATAGCTGAACTTTCTGGCTACACGCTGGTATAATTATTATCCTTGTACGATGTTTCTAAAAGGAATTACAGCCATTTATAACAGGCATGGTGACAGCGCTGACGCGACATAGTGCGTAAGAAGCGCTGACTCAGCTTTGTTGACGTTTTTGTTACGTTTTTCCCCGTGTTATTTTTATCGTTTTCGTACATCTTTATGTCTAATATAATACAAATTCACCATCTGAGATCATGCCAGAGTGGGCGGAGATAATGTGATCAAGGAACCAATCGGGAACACCTGGGAATAGTGCACAAAATGGCCGACACCTCCAGCCAACAAAATATTCCATACCCACGCTAATATCAATTATAAGGCTTATTTATCTATCATAATTGATCTATTATGATATAATGCAATATAATAATAGCATATAAACATAAAAAGTACACCTCAAAAAAAAATATATAGCATGACGCCCCAAGGAATAAATTTCTATCGATATTTCCCCTGAAGGTGAAGAGAGGATCCGCCCTCTCTCATCAGTGATGAGAGAAAACGGATTTACAATGATTAACTGTAATAAACACTCGTAGGCCGCGAAAAAAGTGTAAAATAAAGCGAATGTTTCGGGGAAAAAATTTGTTCCCGGGCAGCGGGGGTGCCGCGCGCTTCGGCCTATATCTCGAAAGTAAGTTATTTATTTATAAGGCAAGTTACAGTTTCATTTATGATTGAATTGACTTGATTTTCACAACAAACATAGGAGAATGATTGTTTTACGGGGAAGCGTTCGTGTTTCCGAACTATCCAAAATATTTTTAGATTTATGTGGACAACAAGGCCGACATCTTCCAATATATCAAAAAAGTTATGAAACTTTATTTTTTTTTAGCAAGAAGATAAGGTTTATTTTAGAATTCTCATCGACAAGTGTTGGAATTAGAGTTGTTCTAGCAGCAGCAAGTGTCAAAACCACTTGTCCAAGTACCACTGAGGAGGACTCCCCTGCCAAATGCAATTTTTCGTAAATTTTGCATATTTCATTTCCTTTTTGGCCGATATGATTGAAACTTCAGCACAGCATACTCGATATAACCTTCTAATAGTACACCAAAAATGAACGTAATGGGTCCATAAAAAAAAGGTCGTTAAAATTCTGCCAACATCTGGCCTTAAGTCAGTGAATGAGATGGAGTACCTAGCTGGAAAATGCAGAGAAGTTGAAAATGCAGAAACAGCAAAGACAAAGAGCCCTTGGTTCAACCAGAGATGCAGGGTGAGGAAACAAAAAATGTATAAGAGCAGGACAAATACAGAAATAACAGACAAGAACAGAGAAGTAAGCAGTTTGGCCAGAAGTGAATATGCCACAGGAAAGGAGAGAAGCTGAGAGAGAGAATTTATCGATGACGGCAGCAAAGGCTAAGGCTGAGCCAAAACTATTTAACACCTGCATCAAAAGATATAAGACATTAAAGGACCAAGTAACTGAACTGAGGAGGAAGGAGAGCTCACGAACAATGGCAGAGAAATCTGTTTAGTGTTGACAAAATTATTTGAAGAGGTCTTAAGGAAAACTGATACAATATCACACTAAGGAATATGGGGCAGCATCAAGTAACGGACACCACCCACATAGCAGATGTAAAGAAACTTTTAATGAACACTGAGATATCCATGACAATGAGAACCTAACAACTTGTTACCATGGATTCGGTGACTGGGTAAAGGGAAGACAAAAAAAAAAAAAAAAAAAAAAAAAAAAAAAATCTTAGGTCTGCCACTTAGCAACCTGAAATTCAATACCCACATTCAACATATTAAAAAAAACATCCTCTCTAAGATATGTTACTATATACCTCAAACAGCACTACTTACATTATACTACTCCCAAATCTATCCCTACCTCACCTATGCTATTTGTGTCTGGGAATCCACTATACTAAATCACCTAAATCCATTTTAATAACTCAACAAAAAGCAGCTGTACAAATGATCACCCAGTCTAAGTGTTAGATAGTACACGCCTCCATAATATACATAAAACACAATGTAAATGGGGAGCCTTTAATTGAGCTATGTGTAGAAAGAGATTTGGTAATAAGTAATACATATTTTATGAAAAAGAGGATAAATAAATATACAAGGTATGATGTAGCACGTAATGAAAGTAGTTTGTCAGATTATATACTGGTGGATAAAAGGTTGATGGGTAGGCTCCAGGATGTACATGTTTATAGAGGGGCAACTGATATATCGGACCATTATTTAGTTGTAGCTACAGTTAGAGTAAGAGGTAGATGGGACAAGTGGAAGGTGGCAACAACAAGTAAGAGAGAGGTGAAAGTGTATAAACTAAGGGAGGAGGAAGTTCGGGTGAGATATAAGCGACTATTGGCAGAAAGGTGGGCTAGTGCAAAGATGAGTAGTGGGGGGGTTGAAGAGGGTTGGAATAGTTTTAAAAATGCAGTATTAGAATGTGGGGCAGAAGTTTGTGGTTATAGGAGGGTGGGGGCACGAGGAAAGTGGAGTGACTGGTGGAATGATGAAGTAAAGGATGTGATAAAAGAGAAAAAAATAGCTTAAGAGAGGTTTTTACAAAGCAGAAGAGTTATAACAAGAGCAGAGTATATGGAGAGTAAAAGAAAGGTGAAGAGTGGTGAGAGAGTGCAAAAGGAGAGCAGATGATAGAGTGGGAGAGGCACTATCAAGAAATTTTAATGAAAATAAGAAAAAATTTTGAGCGAGTTAAACAAGTTAAGAAAGCCTAGGGAAAGTATGGATTTGTCAGTTAAAAACAGAGTAGGGGAGTTAGTAGATGGGGAGAGGGAGGTATTAGGTAGATGGCGAGAATATTTTGAGGAACTTTTAAATGTTGAGGAAGAAAGGGAGGCAGTAATTTCATGCACTGGCCAGGGAGGTATAACATCTTTTACGAGTGACGAAGAGCAGAATGTAAGTGTGCGGGAGGTACGTGAGGCATTACGTAGAATGAAAGGAGGTAAAGCAGCTGGAACTGATGGGATCATGACAGAAATGTTAAAAGCAGGGGGGATATAGTGTTGGAGTGGTTTGTACTTTTGTTTAATAAATGTATGAAAGAGGGGAAGGTACCTAGGGATTGGCGGAGAGCATGTATAGTCCCTTTACATAAAGGGAAGGGGGACAAGAGGAATAAGTTTACTGAGTATACCAGGAAAAGTGTACAGTAGGGTTATAATTGAAAGAATCAGCGGTAAGACACAATGTAGGATTGCGGATGAGCAAAGAGGTTTCAGACTGGGTAAGGGATGTGTGGATCAAGTGTTTACATTGAAGCATATATGTGAACAGTATTTAGATAAGGGCAGGGAAGTTTTTATTGCATTTATGGATTTAGAAAAGGCATATGATAGAGTGGATAGGGGAGCAATGTGGCAGATGTTGCAAGTATATGGAATAGGTGGTAAGTTATTAAATGCTGTAAAGAGTTTTTATGAGGATAGTGAGGCTCAGGTTAGGGTGTGTAGAAGAGAGGGAGACTACTTCCCGGTAAAAGTAGGTCTTAGACAGGGATGTGTAATGTCACCATGGTTGTTTAATATATTTATAGATGGGGTTAGTGGATGAGTTTGGGAATGTGTATAAAGGTAGAAAGTTAAAAGTGAACATAGAAAAGAGTAAGGTGATGAGGGTATCAAATGATTTAGATAAAGAAAAATTGGATATCAAATTGGGGAGGAGGAGTATGGAAGAAGTGAATGTTTTCAGATACTTGGGAGTTGATGTGTCGGCGGATGGATTTATGAAGGATGAGGTTAATCATAGAATTGATGAGGGAAAAAAGGTGAGTGGTGCATTGAGGTGTATGTGGAGTCAAAAAACGTTATCTATGGAGGCAAAGAAGGGAATGTATGAAAGTATAGTAGTACCAACACTCTTATATGGATGTGAAGCTTGGATGGTAAATGCAGCAGCGAGGAGACAGTTGGAGGCAGTGGAGATGTCATGTCTAAGGGCAATGTATGGTGTAAATATTATGCAGAAAATTCAGAGTGCGGAAATTAGGAAAAGGTGTGGAGTTAATAAAAGTATTAGTCAAGAGGGCAGAAGAGGGGTTGTTGAGGTGGTTTGGTCATTTAGAGAGAATGGATCAAAGTAGAATGACATGAAAAGCATATAAATCTATAGGGGAAGGAAGGTGGGGTAGGGGTCGTCCTCGAAAGGGTTGGAGAGAGGGGGTAAAGGAGGTTTTATGGGCGAGGGGCTTGGACTTCCAGCAAGCGTGCGTGAGCGTGTTAGATAGGAGTGAATGGAGGCGAATGGTGCTTGGGACCTAACGATCTGTTGGAGTGTGAGAAGGGTAATATTTAGTGAAGGGATTCAGGGAAACCGGTTATTTTCATATAGTCGGACTCGAGTCCTGGAAATGGGAAGTACAATGCCTGCACTTTAAAGGAGGGGTTTGGGATATTGGCAGTTTGAAGGGATATGTTTTGTATCTTTATACATATATGCTTCTAAACTGTTGTATTCTGAGCACTTCTGCAAAAACAGTGATAATGTGTGAGTGTGGTGAAAGTGCTGAATGATGATTAAAGTACTTTCTTTTTGGGGATTTTCTTTCT